TGTTGAAGGTCATACCTACAACGCTGAGATGTTTTGGAAATCCAACAGACAAGTGTGTAACAGCTTAGCAGCAGATTTGTTGGCTCTAGAAAATATAATTATGTCATCTGCATACATCAGATGTGTGACCTCCATAGTAGATTTATGGTGAAATCTGGCATAAGATTTCTGTGAAATAGCTTGATTCAGCATTTTGGAAAGATAGTCCAGGGAAAGGTTGAAAATAGATGGGGAGAGTGGATCTCCTTGCTGGAACCCTCTGGTAGCAGAGAAAAACCCATGGGAGGCTCCATTTAGCAAGATGGAGTGTGAATTGAATTATAACCATCTAGAAATGAGGGTGCAAAACTCTGAAGAGCAACCTTTGGCTTTGAGAATGCTTTGAGAATTTCAAGAATGAAAGGCCATTGGATAGTATCATAAGCTTTACTTAGATCCAATTTGTAAATGAGATTGCCTCCTCTTCAATGATGATTAATCTCCAGTAGTAACTCCTGTGCCAGTAAAACATTTTCAGAGATAGATTGCCTTTGATAAATGCAGTCTGGTTGGGTTTTATTAAGTAGTTTAAATGGGGTTGTAACCTCGCCACAATGATTTTGCTAATGACTTTGCGGAATATAGAAGTCGGACTAATAGGTTTGTACTGATTCCAGTTGAGGCAAATAGTAGTTTTGGGGATGAGTAAATAGCTGGAGGAAGCGAAGTAGTTGGGGAGAGGGGTACCATTGAAGAAGCTTTGGACATCATTAACCACATCTGCCTTGATAATGGACCAAGTTTTTTTTGTAAAAAGCAGCTGTATATCCATCAGGACCAACAACTTTGGAATTATCAATAGTACTAAGGGCCTCCCAGATTTCAGACTCAGGAGGAGTGGATGAGAGTTGAAGTTCCTATGTATAAATGAGTTCTTCCTGGAAGAATTGAGGATCCACAGGTGTAGCAGTGAAATGAGGTGCAGTGAGGAGATTTTGAAAGTATTCAACAACATTATTAGCAATATCCTCATAATTGTTGATCCAACAACCTTGAGCATCTTGAATCTTGTGAATGTTATTACATTTCCTTTTGTACTTGATACAAGCATGGTAATATTTAGTATTCCTGTCCCCTCCCATAATTCTATTGATTGCAGCCTTCTGTTTAAGGAACACTTCCAATCTTTCAGTGGCCGAAAGAACCTTTTCAGCATTTTCCAGCAATGCAACTTCACTAACATTACCAGCCCAAATTTCAGCTTCCAGGGATTCCAAATTTTTCTCAGCCTTCTCCACTGCTTCATAGACATTTCCAAAGCAGTGCCAATTCCATTGCTTAAGATAGTAGGCAATCTTTTTCAGCAATTGCCACAAATTAGTAAGAGGATTGGATTGTTGTGACAACTTCCAGTGCTCTTTAATTAAATTTAGAAATTGAGGGTGGTCAGTCCACATATTTTGAAATCTGAAAGAGTTATGGCTTGTAGGTGGGCTGGTAGTAATGGAAATGAGCAAAGGTCTGTGATCAGACCCTACTATGGGCAAGAGATGTACAAAGGTATTTAAAAATTCCTGAAACCCTTGATCATTGGCCAGAAATATGTCCAATCTTTCCCAAATTTTCCTCTCTTCCAGGTAAAGCAGTCACCTTGGAAACCAAGATCAAAGAGTTTAGCAGCTTTGATGTTATCACAAAATTGTGTCATCTTAAGGAGGTTAGGAGCTCTTCCCCCTCTTTTTTCAGAGCTTTCAGCAAAACAATTAAAATATCCTCCCACTAACCAAGGATAGGTTATGTTATTAACAATGTAGATAAGTTCTTTCCAAAGAGCTATTGTATCATTTTTGTTACAGCCAACATAGATCACAGTGATAAGACCAAATTTTCTAGCAGCATCAATCTTGAAGTGCACAAACTGAGGGTGGTCCAAAAGGATAAACCAAGTAATTTCTTTTTTGAGAAGGATCCATATTTTTTTGTTACAGTTGTAGTGATGGGAAAAACCATGGAAATGGTTAAGGATTTTTTGAGGATATTTATGAACCATAGGTTCATTATGAACCATATTTATGAACCATAGGTTCAAGGATGGCAATGCACCATAATTTGTGTTTTCTGTTGAGATGGAGGAGC